AATCTTCAAAGATGACTGGAACGCTGGCGGAGCAATTCAAAAACCAGTTTAGCTGTCCCACTGCTCCAGCACCTTCAGTTTTAGTGTATTGTGCTTCATGATCAGTTAACACTGACCCACCTGACGAAGTGGTCTGTAATTAACCCTAAGTCCTGAACCCCACAAGACACTCCGGTCTTGACAACTTACCCCTGGTTCTTTTTAGAGATAGAGGAAAAACTCTAATCACTGGACTGACTAGATTGTTTGACAAGGTATAACAGACTGAGTGTTCCATCACTGGAATGAGGCCATCGTTTTGCCCATCTTTAAAAAAAGGTCTACATAATGTATGTGACAATCATCGGGGTATTAGTCTGTCACCAGTCACGTCGAAAATATTGTCTGGTAGCATACTTCGGAGACTTTGCAAACATGTGACAAAATGATTGGCGAGGAGCAGGCCAGGTTTCGTTCAGGTCTTGGATGCATTGACCATGTGTTTACCCTCTACCAGATGCTTGAACATCACACGTATTGCAGACCAACAATCATCGTGTTTCTTGTCACTAGGCCTGTCTTCGATCCGTTGGATGCAGCTTTACTCTTGAATGGTCTGTTGGAGAGGGCCAAAAAGTTTATTAACATCCTGAAAGCCCTACATAAAAACACCCCAGGTAGAGTAAAGGCATATCATCACCTATCTTCATTGCTCCTGAACAGGGTTGTCCGATTTCTCCAACCCTCTTTAATTCAAGTATGGATGACATTCTTGAGATAGTTCTGGAGAAGGTGCATGATGTTGGTGCAGATCTACCACCCAGAGAACGGTTATTTCACCTTGAATATAGGGACGGTATCTTACTATACGATAACACAGGCTACGCTTATCTCAATCAGTTGGCTATCACTGTCCACAAGTGTGGTATGTGCTCTACACTATCGAAGGGCAAAGTACTTATGCAAGATTGGAAAGAGCCCGTGTCTGTGCTCACTCTCAGTGGTGAGCCGTTGGAAGTAATCGAAAAGTCCGTGTATTTGGGTACTTGCGTGGGTGCCCGTGGATGTGTGAGTAATGAAATTTCCAACCGCATATCGTAGGCCACAGAGGCTGGCATACGTCAATGTGGACCACCTTTTGTGCCGTCGCGACGTTAGTCTGACGGTGATATGTCGGGTTTACAATGATTCGGAGCGAGAAGTTCTGCTCTACGCCTGGTCTCTCCGAGCTGAGGATGTCCGACAACTCTGTGTTCGATCATCGTTGTCTCTGTAGAATCGCTCGTATCTGGTGACAACACCATATAAGTAACTCCGAGGTATGACAACATGTTTCGGCATGATGGAGATTGTCATTCAATAAGTGAAGTCATCTGGAAACACCAGCTTCGGTGTCTTGGACAAGTGTTATGCCTGTCATCCCAATGGCTTCTATTCCGTTTATTGTTTGCTAATTGTGGACTTGATGGAAGAAGCGGAGGGCTGGTCAGTGTATGACATGGCGCCGTGGGATAAAGGATAGTTGTATCGAGTTAGCGTCTGTCGGTGCATCATGACTCCTTACGTGGGGTCTGGAGGATCACACAACTCAGTGTTTTGAGACCTTATCAGATAGATGTGGCTCAGAATGGAAACCAGTGGTGGTCATGCTGTAGCTTCCTTGTATTTTCTGCTACTGAAACGTAAGGAATGCTTTGTTTTGAACATATCTTATTAAACTACCTTCCTAATAATTCTATTCTTATTTTGCTTTTTTCCACTTCCCATCGCTGTATGTCTTTATAATCTTGTACTATTTTGGGTGGCGCATTACGTGGTCCCCTTGCTGCACTAAGTTTTGTGTTCTAATAAATACCAATAACCACTCTTTGAGAGTTGGCTACGGTCTTCAACGCTGTTTTTATCGCAGGTTGGAGATGTCATCAAGCTTCTGGATGAGTGATAATGTTCTATTCCGATAACTGCCTAGCCAGCTTCTCACTGAAAACGCCCTTAGTGCTCTCACTGTTGAGCTGCACTCGTCACGGTCTTGTTGCTAGTTTTTCTACGTCTATTGAGACTCAAGCAAATATGCGCTCGAACCAACTCGCGGTCGTTATACAAACACGTTCGTCAGAAGTGGCAGTCTTCTACTTACCCTCCATCGATGATATAGCAATGTTGCCTGTCTGTGTCCATCACTGAGTTGAGCTCAGTGGATGCCACGTCAGACAATGTCTATGTCTGAAGTTTGTGCTAGCTACAAATAAATAGTTATCTGAGCACAGTTGTAGTAGGCGACCACTGTCATCCGTTTTTTAAGCCGGGATTCCAAAAGTGTCACGTAAGCGCCTTTCTGCCTGACTCACCTTACCCACTTGTCCATTGAAATTACCTGCAACAACTACGTCTGAACGTTTGACTTTCAGAAGGAGGCTAGATAGTTTTCGGTAGAACTCATCCTTCACTCCATCCGAACTGCAGTCAGTGGGTACGTAAGAAGAGATTACAAAGAGGAAACTACGAGTTTCACTATTCCTTTCAGTTCATACTGTACTGTACTGTTCAGCCGGAAAGCGCCTAGGCGATTATCACCTATGATCCAGTCTAGTAGTGAGCTTTCTCCCCTAGTGCCTAATGCTATGCCTACATCTGTAAGCCCGCGACAGCCAGTCATCGAATCTCCAGAAACTCGAGCGGTGAATTTTCCGGGTTCACTATATTGTCCGCGAAACGTTAGGTGAATAATCGCACTTGGGTCCTGTATGCGTATCTCACAAATACAGCACTTATCCATGCCCCAAGTTGTTAGAGTCTTGGCCAGTTTGACAAAGGGCGCGGAAAAAGACAGCTCCAATGTGTAATTTGGAGTGTGGTTTAGAGAAACCACGGATGCTGTTCTGTGGACTAACATTGTTGTCGAAAGCCATAGATCTAGTACAAACTAAAGACGATGTAGGATTGTTAACTGATAGATGGGAAGAAAGATTAGGAGGTAAGGATGATGAAGGTGGATAGTGTTTGGGGGAACTTGGTGGCTGACACTTGTGAGGTCGGTGGAAAATTCCCGGTCTCCCACACCATGGAAGATGACGTCTTCTTGAGATACCTGAAAAAGAAGAGTTGGTCTGTGACTGCAGAGCCATGAGACATCTGCTTGAGGTCGGTCACGTATGGTCTTTTGATGCCACTACACGGCCTGTATTGTGGGGAATGTGGCTTTATATCACCACTGATGACCGATCTAAGCCACCATAATGGATCATCTCATTGTTTAAGAACATAAGAGTGACGGCTTTTGGTCTAAGAACTATTCAGCAAACGTTTCTGGTACGGTAGGACCTAAGGGGAACAAGTGTTTCACCAGAATATAGCTCTTTTGGTCATCGCGACCTACCAGCCGGACTACCACGTCTAGAAAGCAGCTATCGGTAGTATGTTCTAAAACTGGAACAAGGCACTGCAGCAGCACCTGACGCTTACTTACCAGACGTTTCAAAGAAAAGTAGTGAGAAATTACTGGGCACATTAACGGAGGTACTACATAGTGTACGGAAATCAGTGGTTTTCACACCAACCAGACTGACCAACATCACTCATCATCCCACGCTATACGAAAGAACTTTACTAGAGACAATCATAAGGGTATTTGGTCTGATTAACATCTTGTCCTCCATCCTTGGGTCTATCGTTATCCAATGCTTAACTCTAGCTGAAGGGCAGCAAACTCCAGAAAACGAGGCCGGTATCAAACCTGAGTGACAATGCATCGATTAGATAGATATTCACCTTTCGACCGGTTCTGCTGCAACACTCAGATACTTGATAGTGGTCGACACTCGCCACATCTCTCGACCTGAAAGTGGCATTCAGCTCTTTCGACCGAGAGGTTTTGTGGCAGTGTCTAACTGTAAATAGATTATAGGGCAAGTATTTAACACCAATGACAGTTCTCTACTCGAATTCATGCAGTTGAGTCAGACCCTACAGAGAATTATCATCTGAAATGATGACAACCAGGGGTGCCCGACAGGGATGTCCACTGTCACCGTTCCCGTGTAATTTCGTTACACAACATCTAATAGACATAACTCTAAGTACCTCCGACTTTACATAGGTTAACCCGTTCCTTGGAACGCATCTTATCGACTTGGAGTACGTGTAGAGAACACTATCCTGCTTGGTGAAGACGCTGATAAGACCCAAGGTCTTCTGAACGTCTTCAACAGAAATTTGAGTATGTTTGGCATGCATCTCGCACCTGTCAAGTGTAAGATGATGCTTCAGAACTGTTGTGCACCAACACTTGGTTTGAGGATAAGGAGCAAAGTGGTAGGATGTGTTGATTACTTCACTCACTCTTCAGGTGCTGTATCTGCCTAAATGGGCTGGTTGTTGATGGAATTCCAGGTCGGATACAGAAGACGTGTTTAAGACCTGTCAACTTACGTAATCGCTGGTGCTGACGAAGCATCCGACTATCTATTGGGCTAGTCTGCTCTTTCCTTTTAAGACGGCTGTGAGACATGGCCACTCAAGATAGGTGTGAAGACATTGTAGATGGAGAGGTTCGGTGGAAAATTGCCGCTAATTGTGGAGCATGTGTTTGGACTATAATCACGTGTTGGTTTGACTATACGTGTTTATGCTTTTTGATGAAATTGGTGGAAAAGAACTGTGACGGACGTTTTCTGTGAAAAATTAGATAGGCTAATACACTTGTCAGTACACGAAAGCATCACTCATCGACAAAAAGCTTGGAGCCGTCGGTAGTCTGCTGTAAAACTAAAGATAAACACTGTATCTGATTCGAAATAGTTTGGGGAACATGAAGACTTTGGATGAACCTCGCAAAGACCCAATATTACTTTGCATTACGTTATTGTGGGCCACAGGCAGCTTTACTCATCTTTTCATAGCATCCTATAAGTGCATTCAAACCTCACGCATAATTTCTGAAGGTCCGACAGTTACTTCTAAATCTAGGTAGGTTTGTTATCAATTTGTAATACTGGAAACAACTAGTTAGCCTATCATAAATATATTTGTAATGATTGTTTGCATAGTGTGACATAGTGTGTTGAGCTAAATTACTACCCATGATCACAGTAATTGATGGAATTGTTTGTGGACGTGGATTTTGTTGACCACCAAAACGTAGAGCGAACATAGGACACACGAATGTGTAACCAGAGTTCACAAGGGGTGACAGTACTGGGTATACTCATACCATCAGCATCTATTTGGGATGTGATGCATTAGAATGGAGGCTTTAGTGGTGGATGGAGGACGCCAGGTAGCACAACGACGATGGCTGTGCTGGAAGTTGGTACTGCCTAGAAACGAGTTGTGATCTACACGAAGCTGCAGAAAGCTTCACTCATAATCTGATGTGGCACTGACTAGTCTCCATTGGTCATGTGGGCGAATCTCTTGTGAACGTAAACGGCTGATTTGTGCATTCACGTCTCCATGTGGCACTTGAATACCTGTCGAACACGTTTAGTTGATAATGTCACCTAAGTGATGGTTGAAGGCATCCTCAATCGGATGTGAACTGCAGTCTGTCGGAGCAAAGGGAGAGTTGACGAAGAGATAGGGTTTCCTTTGGCAGTTAGTTTTCACTCTAATCGAACCTTCTAGCGTAATAGGAGACATACAACTGTTAGTGGGTATACAATGGACTAGTACAGTTTTGGCTCTGACACTGAGTGTGAAATGGTAGGTATCAAGGGTGTGTGGTGATGCCATATGGTTATTGGGTCGGTGGACTGTTAATGCACTTTCTGAGTTGACAGGTGGGGGAGGTTGTTTGAATTATTTCACTGGAAGCATGTATGGGAATATCTGAGGAACAAGAAATATGGGTGTTGAGGATATCCAGCATCCTAGTGAAGCCTGTCTATTTTCTGTAATGCATCGACTTTCGAACATTGTGAGTTGCCACGGTAAACGGTACGCCTGGTTTCAAAATCGTTAAGTCACCTTACTGTCGACTGCACCGAAGCGTTTATTCAGTGCTAGAGTATTTGGCTTATAAAGGTCAGGGAATTACTCTGAAAGATCCGAAATTAGTGGATATACGCAGGTGTGTAGGTAGGTATAGAAGAGATTTATGGTGCATTGAATGATTTTTTAAAAGTTTTTCTCAGAGTATCTGTGATTTGTTTTGCAAACTTCACATAACTTGTTTGATTGGCTTATGTAGACAGACAGATAGGCTACAGTGTAAATATATACAAAAAGGTTTTTATGGTCAGTAACTTAAACTCGGAAAGTGAAGCAATTGTTATTCTCATCCTGATCTGAAATTTCTTTAGTACTTCAATAACTTTCTCTTTCTTTTTATATAAGGGTGGATTCAGCTATGTTTAACCCTGGACGTGTTCAACTGTTCAATCTACTTAACGGGATATTATGCGTTTATAAATCACCTGAAATGAGTGTTGAAAAATTAAGTAAATATGTAAAGCGCTCTTTAGCTAACGGTTTGTCAGTCTACTTCGAATGAAAATTGCTCATACTATTAGCTTTCAATTCGCTCCCTTCTGAAAGTCAGTTAATACGCACATCAATTCATGCGTGTGATCACGATAACAAACTGATAACGATAAAAACAGAACCTGATATTGTTGACAGGATCTCGGTATTTGAGCCTTCCTTTAAAAAAACGTGATTATCTTTGTTTGTTTCAAGTGTTAGGTAGACGTTTCTTTCCGGGTGATTTTATGCTATATGCTGTCGATCCTCTTAGCGATTTTATGTCTGGTGTACAAGGTAAGATGAATTTTCTGACGTTGATGTGCTTTTCCTTTCCTTTTTTCATAGTTTATGGTATCGGCGAAGATGGTGTTTACAATCATGCAACTAAGTATGAACAATCCTCGTGGCTTAAAACCTATCACTTAACGTGTATGATGGGACGTGCGTCTACAGATAGAACAGCTAATGGTAGAACACTTCTAAGAGCTTCTTGGAGTAAGTATTACTGATAATGGGGGGACGGTCACGGTTAACTTGATTACTGTTTTCTGAATTTCGTTAACTCTTAGATTCTCATTACTAAGAAAGTAGACAAATACGTTCAATGATACTAATTTAATGATGACCGTTTTAAAAATTTATTTCTTACAGCAAGAGATATAAACCACATGCCGATTTTACAGACATCACTTTCTGCAGTCCTCAGTGTATTCGCGAAACTGTGAAACTATTAGTCGACAAACCGTATACAGTCATGTCATGCGAAAGTTTGTATAAGTGTATGTCGCAAGTGGTAAGAATAGTATCTCAATCTAACACAACTACATCACAATTTTTGTTGATTCCATGTCTTCACACTGTGAGTAATAAATTTCCATCTAGGAATTCAGTATTGGGTGGTTGACAGTCCACAGAAAATTTAATGTAATAGTATGTTAGTTCAAATTGCAATATCACAAGAGAATTCAGTAAGAAAAACTGTCAGAAAGCTCCAATAGTTCCATCAATAGGGTATTCCCTTTAGACAAATGTGAATTTTTCGTTTTTATATCTTGTCTTAAGTCTTAGCCAGTAGGACGTTTTACGGTGGTGGCCTGCATTTCGCCTTATTTGGAACTCGTCAGCTGATATACCTGCACCTTAATGAGTGATGATGTCCCCAGTGGGAATTGAACCACACACTCATCGCTTCAAATACTGAAGCGTCATCCACTTAGCCACTGAATCAAAGAGCCACCTCTTGTGCAGCGTCTATCAATAAATAACTACTTCGTTCTTGTTTGACTTTACTAATACTCTAAGTCTCTAACATGTTCAGATTCGCTGTACCGACTTGTTTATGTCAATTTCTGAAACAATAGTCTCTCTCCGCTCTCGACCTACGTTCTGTTTTCGTATTCGTTTATGGACTCACTGTTGTTTATATCTAGAAAATTGAGCTTAGGGCTAACAAGCGTTGTAGCATATATCCGAATGGGTGACAGGAAATAGGAATAAATGTCAAAATGGAATGAAATGGTAGGGGGTAAATTATGTAGATTAGTGATATCTTGAATTTTCCAAAAAAGATCAGGCTTTACTGCAACTTCATTCTTTATAATTCCATTTTAGTCTCACACGGTGAAACTGTCATTTACTAGATAACGTTTCACCGTGTGAGATATCTAATAAACAGACTAAAATGGAATTATAATCTGCCCAAGTTTTACTCCCATATTAATGCAATCTTTATGGTCGATCTTAAAGCATCCTATCTAAGGCGTTCAGTCACTAGCTTTTCATGTGTCACACGCTCCAGCTGTCGGTAACCGTAATTCACCATAAGACTCACTAATACCAATAGTTATGTGCATTTTAGTCTCAGTTAATGATATTTTGAAGTAACTCACTGTGGTTCCATCGAAACACAAAGCAACTATGGCACTTCAGTCAAGTTTGAGCAAAAGCTATTGTCGTATTACTCTTAGTGTCGAATTCCGCTCAATTTCTCTTCTTAATATTTTGCTTTCAAGTAGCTGGATCGGTCTCAAGATAATTTTCGGGCGATGGCTAAAAACCTGATAAAGGTTCGTGTAGTAAACTGAGCTAAACTTTATGTAAGAGTGTATGGTGCTACCAGATCAATGTGGGTTAGAGCAGAGGTCTAAACCAAACATCTATTTAAAAATCGAGTTCGGAAAGTAGGCGGATCGCTTGACTGATATAAAATAGGGTATGACTGAACTTAGATACCACTAAACGCCTACTACTCATCTTGGCATTCATCCGCGTTGAATTTATTAGACACCTGAGATGGAATGCTAACCCTCTGCATTATTTAGACAACCACAACTCCACAGTTTCCAACACACTTTCATAATGTCAAGACAATAGCAAGAAATATATGAGTGGTGTTTTCATATAAGTCTGAGACGACTCAGTAACACTTACTTGATGCTTTTGTTGCCCATCATTTGTGATGTCTATCTTTTCACAGTAATAATAGCTCTACAGAAAATAGATAGCATAATACTATCATTTGATTTACGGTGAAAATATTCGTCTTTATAAAATCTGTTCCCATGGTTCAAATATAACATGCTCCTTACAAGCTCTAAAACGTTGTATATTCCCTATTCAGAGGCAGGCAAGTGGATTGATGACGTTGTGAACTTTCATCAGCTTAGATGGCTTTCATATGTACTACGCATGCCAAGTCACTGCCTACCTTGAAGTGTAACGCTATGAAAGTTGATTTAGGTTGGAAGAGGATTCAGAGTGACACGACACCAATCCATGAAGTCCCTGACTGTTGGTCTAAACGGTATGGGGAGATGTAGAATGCCTGGTTAGGGTCATCGAGACGAAAGGAATCAGTGGTTGAAGACTCTTGGTGACATCACTGAAAATCAGTCGCAGTAGCGCATATGTATTCACTTTTTGACGTCTTCTGAATATTCCCACTAACCTCTTCCTTCAGACTGTTCATTCTCTCATACAACTTTATCTACTTTGAAATCACTCCTTTCCTATCCATCTGTTCTTTGTATGCTACTGTGAAGTGTGTCGACTTGAACGGATGCATTGTGTGCGAGGTTCTACTTTAATTTCGTCTCTCTCTCCTGCCTGTTGTGCTTTAAACTAAAAGTGGAGTTAGCCATAGCTTTGCGATTTCACCAGTGCTGTTTAACTTTACAATCAGTGACAATTAGGTGACAGTTCTGAGGGAGGTGAGTGGCAGTGGTATACATCTGTTAACAGGTGAAAGGTTTCTAGACTTCAAATATACGAACGACTCCATTTTACTGAGACATTACACAGGTGGCTGGCATGGTACTGAGTCAGTTGGGAATCCGTATGCGTGACTATGGTATGCAGTAAGGAATAGTTAAGTTGGGAATATTGTTATCACTATCACACAAAATTCGTACAACATAAGCATCAGTAGATTTAGGGAGTTGTGGCTCATTGGTTTAAGGAAATGACTTCGAACACTAGGTCGTGGTTTCGAACACCGCTCCACCTATCGAGGTTTAGGAAGCCGGGTAGTATCATTAGCCCTCACACAATAGGTGTGACTTATCGCTAACTTCACTAGTATACACAAGATTGCTGAGTGAATTTCGATTCAATGGACTGAGAAATGCGCCGTGCAAAAAAATTAAATCAAGACTACGAAGACAGAAAACGGAAGACAATACCAAAAAGCAAGTAGAATATTAAATAATCAGTCTCAAAGATGCATTCGCCACTTCCATTTTAACTTCCAAAGACTGGATTAAAAAAGAACATTAAAGCATTATTCCCGCTGATTTTGATTATGAGCCTTTTCTGCTATCGTTTCAATCCAGTGAGTTGCATTACCTCGTAAACCACATCCAGGGAGTCATAAGGTACCTACAGATGCACACTCACAGCTATTCTTTACCGCATATCATACTTACGCATACGTATTCCCAACTGACTCAGTACCATGTCAGCCACCTGTATAGTGTCTCAGTAAAATGGAGTCGTTCGTATATTTGAAGTCTAGAAACCTTTCGCCTGTTAACAGATGTATACCACTGCCACTCACCTCCTCAGTACTGTCGCCTAATTGTCATTGATTGTAAAGTTAAACAGCACTGATATAATGTTAAGATGAGGATAATGTGTGTATACATCTGGGCCACTGACATTGGTTCTGAGCCATATCACCTGGTTCGTCTTGTCCCGTGGACCTCAACCGGCTAGTCTGCATCGCCCCACATGGCTCAAACCAACTGTCAAAGACTTCATACATTGATGCCATGTTTTAGTCCGGCCACCTCGGGCCTTTTTCCAGCCTAGACCTACTTCGGCCAACATTGTCTGACGAGGCAGCCAGCGACTAGGCATACGTCCCAAACATCTCAGTCGATGAAGGTACGCAACCTCGTCAACTGACTTACCTCTTCTCCCTAAAACTCTACTCCTGACTTCTGCATTGCTCACATAGTGAAACCATGGAATATGGCCCATACTACGAAGGCAACAGTGGTCAAACACATGAAGCCCTCTCTTATCTTCCACTTTCAATGGCCATGTTTCACAGCCATACAGTAGAACAGACCGGACTGCTGTGCAGTACACGTGACCCTTGATAGGCAATCGAATATCATGGCGGCGCCACAGATGGCGTAAGTTGGCTAAAGCCAATCGAGCCTTTGTATCTGTGCAGAGATTTCATTGGCCACTGAGCCATCAGGGCTGGTCCTACTTCCCAAATAAGTGAAATTGTCGACACTCAACCACTACACTCTCTATTGTTAGCCGCGATAGGGCACCGTTGAAGACCAATTCTGGAGCAACAATTTCCATTTGGGTGGTGAGAAACGTATCATAAACATCCTCAAATTAACACTCGATGTGTTCAGAAGACTCTGCATCTTGTCAGCGTCTTTACCTAACAGGACCATGTCATGTCATCTGCTTATTCTAGGTCTAACGAAAATTCTCCCACGATTAAGTCAACGTCTGTGTAATCAGATGATGAGAGGGAAACCTCCATAAGAGTACCCATGATAAACTGAATAAGAATGAAGACAGTGGTCAGCCTTGACGGACGCCACTCGATGAGTACAGCTCAACTGACATCCCACATAGGCTCTAACACGCCCACAAGTGTTCGAGTAGAGAGCATTCAATAAAGTGATGTACTCACTCTGCACGCCTTTCAGTGAGAGACATAGCCACAAGACTTCTTGATCAACCGAGTTGAATGCCGCCGCCTTCAGGTCGAGAAATACGGCTAGTGTCGGGCGTCGGTAAGCGTGTCTGTGTTCCAGAGCCTGGCCCAGTGTGAATACTTGGTCAATACACTCGCGGTTGGGTCTAAATCCTGTCTGATTTTCTCGGGCTTGCTGTTCCCGAGCTCCACTCAGACATCGAAGAATTATAGAACCTAGAATCTTGGACTCTATGTTCGTCAGGCTAATTCCTCTGTGGTTATAACAAGAGGACTTCTGGCCTTTTTGAAGACTGAAACAATCAGTGAC